CAGATCTTTTCAAAACCACGTTCACACAGAACCACAGATTAACACTTAGTTAATCAACACAAGGTCATGCACATATGCAACAAATACATAAATGACCCCATGAAAAATCTCACCACACTTATCCTATCACATTCCGTGTTACTCCCATCTCGAGAACACATATCTCCTCTCATCGCCCACAATGCTCACTTAACTCATGTCTAACTGGTAAGTCATAATAGATCCTAAACTCTCGGGATAATCCTCTATCACCACATCACTTCTCTCAACCTACGTGGATAATGGGACTCCACTTTACAGAAGTGATAGAAGTGCCTCTCTCACACTCCACTTGTACAGGGTCTCTTTCACAGATAAATGACTCTACACATTTGATGACATCTCCACTCGTGATCCAAATGTCACACTCTACATCCCTCAGTACAAATCACCATGTACCCCTAGGCATCTATACTCCACTTTACCAAAAGACATCCAACTCACTGCTAATGCATCTCAAACTCACTATGACAAATCAACACCTTTCGGTGACCACAAAGGTTAATCCACTCACCAATGCTCCCAAAAATTCACAAAGAAAATAGTGAAGGTGACACTCTCAAAGAGAATCGAAGAAAGAGTCGGTTACTTCACTACACTCACAAAAAAAGGCTCACAAGGATAAAGAAGGTAACCCTAACATGACTGCCTTATATAATCTCACAAATCACACAGGCTCACAAAGATGAAGGAGAGAAACGGCTGCCCAACTTTCTTCTCACTACCACACTCTTACACCACTCACAGAGCAAATAGATTACGTCACAAAACTTAACCCACTATGCTTGTAAAGCCAGATTCGCCTTGTCTCTATCCTCATCTTTCCTTTTATTATCATCCTAGGACAATCTCTTTCAACTATGTCCAAATTTTACCATAGTTAAAATATATGTTATTTTTCCCACTTACCTTAGACCTCATTTACCCCCAATGTCAAATAATGACCACAAGTAAAGTATGAACATAATTCACATAGAATAATCCAGTAAACTTTCCCAAGGCCACATACAATTCTAATAATGTAGAAAAATTGACAGCAAATTCACAAAGAATTTAAGGCAAATAATTAACAAATAATTCCTAGGTCTAGCAATAGGCAATGGTTACCCCTTCATGGTAACCCCAAACCTAATGTAACCCACACGATGACCTTTGATGCAAAAAATAAATTACTCTACACATTTATTTTAACTGTTATAATATAAAGTAAAGAATACGATACCGAGCGGACCACGTCTGAAGGTCCGTAAATATCGAGAGACGCGAATTCACCACTTCAGGACTATCACTCTTCATCCTAAAGTCAACAGCAATCACAGCAACACGAAAACAGCACTCGGCACCCGAACGTCCAAGGGCAAAATCGTTCAACTTTCACTGTATTACTCCAAATTGAAATCTGAAAACACTGCAGGGTCCATCTCGTCATGGGGAAGATTCTGTCTGAAGACCACTTCGCTGGAATCCTCCAGACGCACCCTCACGCGCCGCGTGCCGCCCCAACCTTTCTGAATTGTCTCCACCTGCACAGTCCAATGGTGGTGTCCGTTTCTCCAAACTGTTTTTGGTTTCATCAGAATACGCCAAAACAGATTCGGTAGAAAATTGAAAAAATCGAATAGTTTCTGCCTCTGATTTTCAAACCCGTTTCTGACCACTTCCAGCCCGTTTTTAGCCCTAAAAATCACAGATTTATCAATAACACAAGTTCTGATACCATTTGTAGTGGAAATCCCTCGATAAATCTTGATTTCGGGCTCAGAAAATAATCAAACGAATACCGGTTTACCTTGACTCGACCCGAGACTTTCACCTTTACTTTGGACTGTTCTCTTTCTCTCTAACCCCACAAAGGAGAAGGGTGGTGGTGTTAGCAATCCATAAAGGTATGGAGAGGAAGAAGAACAATAGTTGAATCTTACTTACAACCTCACATGGCTTCCCTCTCTCATGGTTGCCTCTCTTCTCTCAACTCTCATCTCCATTGCTACAACACACACCACCACCAAAAACGACTGGGAGATAAATACATATATATAGGTTAGTTTAGGTCACTCTAATTGGGTCTAGGGTTCACTAAGCGGGTTACCAATTAACCTAAACTATGGGCCAATATTCAACTCCATATTAATCACTAAATGGTCCAACTAACCAAATAATCATCCAACCCAAACCCGAACCATCCAAAAGTGTAGTTTATCTCCGAGTCGAGCCAAGTCCATTGTGTCGATAAATAATCTGACAACTATTTTAAATCATCGCCTGGATTATTGGGTATCAAAAAACCCAACAATTTGAATTTTGAAAAATTATTTATGACATTTTATTATCATGTAACATATACATTTTAAAGTTGGTGAATCTTACAATATTTTGTCTCGCTATAAAAGTAAAATAAAAATAAATAATAAATTGATTTTAACATATAGAAAATAAAAATAAAGATTAATGATGTAGACTAAGAATATAATTTTTTTAATTTTTTTTTGAATTTTTATATAAATCATCATTATGTGCTTAAAAAATTTATTTTTTTAATTTTATTTTTCAACTTTTAATTTTAAATTTTAGAAATTATTTTTTTTAAATTTTTTAAAATATAAAGTATTATTTGTTAGAATTTTATATTTTGTATTTTTTAATTTTCACTGAAAACACACAAGACATGGAAAATGTGTTTTGAATTTTATGTTATAATTTTGTCCTTATTTTCAAAATTGTATTTTTAGATATACCAAATCAAACATGTTTTCAGTGTATTACAAAATTAAAAACTGAAAATAACAAATCAAATGCATTCTAAGCTTTCCAAAAAGTTGACTCGCTTTTAGCTTTCATTTCTTATATTCTCTCTCCTCTCTCTCACAATTTAAGAAGAGAAAAGCCCTCTGAATTCACAAAAGCCAATACCAATTCCGGTTTTTCTTTTAGGTTTTTCACCATGCAAGTTCATCTTCTCTATCGATTGTTCCCTTACGTATTTTAGAATTATCGATTGTTTCTTTACGTATTTTAGAATTATGTATGTTTTAGAGTTAATTAATAATTGCCCACCAAATTTTATTCTAAGTTACTACTTGCTCATTTAATAAAAAAAGGTTACTTCTTGTTGAAATATGTGAATCAAATCCGAACAAAAAAATAGATATCACTAACGGAGTTTGTTCAGTTAACTATTTTCATGTAAATTAGTTATGTAATTTCTTGTATACAAAAATGTGCCTGCCTTTTATTTCTATGGAACAAATGTATACTTTTCTCCTTCAATTCATTTATCAACATCGGTCGTTCCTTTCGTTGTATCAGAGCAAACTTGAGAATTGTTGAGCGCGGAAGCTCCAATAACACACGTTGATTCCAAATCGGATTATAAAGAACGAGATTTAATGACAGTATTGAAGTATTCTAGATCACACTACGAAAACACAAGATTGAATTTGTAAAGAAAGAACGCAAAGGGTAAACGTAGAGGAACGATATTTATTAATTCAACAGTATAGAGAATACAAGATAGACTAGCAATACTGCTTCTATGTTACTCTCTACAAACTGACCAGAAGAGCCTCGTATTTATAGGCCAACCCTAGAAGAGTCCTAAAAGGCAAGAAAATATATTACAATTAGGAGACCGAATTTCAATAGGATTTTGTTTTCTTATTCAACTTAGTTTTCTTAAACTCTAGGTTAATATTCTCCTAGTCCAAGTCGAATACGCCTCTTCAAAAGACTACTATTTGAGTCATACTCCTAACAATCTCCACCTCGACTTTAATTTCGGTGCTACAAACGAAACTTCTAGATTTCAAATTCATCTGCATCGAAACTAACTGGCCGAATCTCCTCAACACAGTAACCACTCCATATAAGCTAAACACTCATCCTCTACCCGGCGTCCACAGCCGACACCAGAACCCAATCCCTAGGGTTTCAATTCTACCAAGGAATTAATGCTGATCACAAAGGGCCGAACCATACCCTGTAGGAAAAACCAAACCAGATACTTTATTAGAAGGGCCCTTGCTGGAACTATCGCCTTTAACTTCTCTAAAAGCATCCCAGATATTACTGACACCACAGTACCTACGCTTGATGAGTCCTATTCCAGCAACTGAACACAGTATATTCGCTGAAATCGATGCAAAGCGAAATCACCAACGTTCTCCCTAGCAGTGTTCTGAATCGACTCAGAGCCTAACATAAGAAGTACTGTACCAAAACTGAACTTTCACCACGGTACTAAACTTGTCCAAATGTCTCCTCTTAACTAGTTCTGCACTCCCCTACAAAATGTACAATTGGGATCTTTTCCGTCCCTCTAGTACAACTCGAACTCCCTTTTAGACCTTCAAGACTCCACCTCTTCCAGAGAATTTATACCCTTTTGCATCCAAGGTACTTAACAAAATGAGATTACTTTTCAGGTCAGGAACATGTCGAAGTTGATTAATTGTTCTAAATGTTCTATCCTGCAGCCTCAATCTGACTCGACTGATCCAAGCAATACAACAAGATTGGTTGTTTTCCATTACAACCCCACCGTGCTGAACAACCTTATATCTCTTAAATAAATTCCTATCGGAACACATATGGTGCGAACATGCTGAATTAAAAATCCACTCCTCATCAGGCCTAGACTCCACATCAGATACCACGGTCAACATCACCTCTTCGCTACCTGAACAATTCTCAACTACATTGGTTTCGTCTGAATTCAAAGGTTGCACCCCACAATTTACAGCTAAATCACCTTTAGCTTGCAACATATCGCAATCCTTCCGACTATGTCCCTTCCTTTTGTAGTAGTAATAGGTCACATTGCTAAATCTAACTCTTGATCTGCCTCTTCATTGACCACTTTAAGATACAAGAGCTTCCCCATCCCTTGATATAGCTCCAACCAAATGCTTCATTTTCTACTTTGAGTGTTAAGCATCATAAACATCTTCTATAGTTAAAGTATCTCAACTATATATGATAGTATCCCGAAATGACGCATAAGATCCAGGCAGCGAACACAACTGGATCAAGGCAACATCCTCTTCATCGTACTTAACCTCCAATGTCTCCAGATCTGCAACTATTTCCTTGAGCATGGCAACATAGTCTTCCAACGACCCTCCTTCTGCCATGCGATGTGAATACAGCTTCTGCTTGAGAGCTAGTTTACTTGTAAGACTCTTAATCATACACAACTGTTCCAACGTCAACCACAAAGCAGCCTCCATTTTCTCCTTCAAGACATCCTGGAAAATATTGTTGGACAGATGAAGATGAATCAATGAAACGGCCTTTTGATCCTTCCATTGTTTCTCCTCCGCTATCCAACCAGCTGGCATCCTCTCAATACCCAGCAACGCATAATCCAAATCCAACTGTGCTAAAATAGCCCTCATCTTTACTTGCCATAATGAAAACCTTGTATTGCAATCTAACAGCGGAACATCATACTTCAACCTAGCCATTTCGAAAGAATCTTAACCAATCCACAGAAAATCAACAACCTCGCTCTGATACCACCTATTGGGCGCGAAAGCTCCAATAACACACATTGATTCCAAATCGGATTTTAAATAACGAGATTTAATGACAATATTGAAGTTTACTAGATCGCATCACGAGAACACAAGATTGAATTTGTAAAGAAACAAAACAAGGGGTAAACACAGAGGAACAATATTTATTAATTCAACAGTATGGAGAATACAAAATAGACTATCATACTGCTTCTATGTTACTCTCTACAAATTAACCAGAGGAGTCTCGTATTTATAGGCCAATCCTAGAAGAGTCGTAAAAGGCAAGAAAACACATTACTATTAGGAGACCCAATTTCAATAGGATTTTGTTTCCTTAAACCCTAATTTAATATTTTCTTAGTCCAAGTCGAATTCGCCTCTTCAAAAGATTCCTATTTGAGTCATACTCCTAACAAGAATGAATAAATATAGAAGCTAATAATATATGATATTTATGTCACTTTACTCAAAAATCATTTAAATAGATAAGAAATTTTGTGGTGTACCAAACATTTATTGTGGTGATAATATAATCGAGGAAATACATGGAAATGGCCGGTTGACCTAGGCATATTTCTAATAAAGCCTTTGACCATTAAAAAAAGAGTAAAAAGTTAAATTATGAGGTGAAAGATCAAAAATAAAAAAAATACCCTCGCCTCATCTTGTGCAAACAGTGGAGAGAGAAAAGAAAAAACTCAATTGGGATCCAGTCGAACACACCACCCTCATAGTCAACCCAACTTCGACTTCCACAACCCAGTCATTGAGCGAAGTTATCTTCAACAATGGTAGTTTAGTGATTATGAAATTGATTTTTCATATATAGTAAAGATTAAATTTAACATCCATTTAGTTTATTGTTTAGTATTTAGATAGATGCTCGGGTGTAGACTAGATTTAAGTATTTTTTGGGGGCTGTGATTGCCTCATTTTCGGCTAAAAATGGAAAAAGCAACTGTTAACAATTGTTGAACCCGATTGTTTAATATTCAATTGGGCAAACCCAATTTTTTTGGGCCGATTTTTATTTTTTTTTCCTGATTTTTTATTGTTTATTAGTATTTTTCTCTTTATGATAATTTAATTTTTTTCAATTTTAAATAATATTCATATTCTTTATTTAATTTTTATAATTTCCTTTTGTCTAATTTTTTTTTGTTTTATTATTACATTTTAGGTAATAGTTTTAAAATTTCTTAATTGTTTGCTTCATATTATAAATAAATCTTTTTCAGTTAAATACTTTTTAATTCTTTTCTTTATGATAAAGTTTAATTTTTCGATTTTAATTAAATAATATTTATACTCTTAATTTAATTTTATAATTTCCTTTCGTTTAATTTTTTTCTTTTTATTTTTTTATAATAATTTTAAAATTTCTTAATTTTTTTCTTCTTTATATAAATTTTTTTCATTTTGATTTTTTAAATACTCTTGCTTTAATTTTTATATTTTATAATTTTCATTAATTTATTTTTCCTTTTCTATGTTGGTCTTTAATTTTTACTTAATTTAATTTATTATTAGTTTCTTCTTTTTTAAAAAAATTTCTTAATTGTTTTCTATTTGTCATAATTTATTTTTTTTCCATTCAACTTTTTAATATTAGATCTTTAATTTTTATTATTTTTGTTATTTATTTCTTTAATTTTAAATTTTTTGTATATTTAATTCATTTAAATTTTTTTATTTTTATCTGTAATTCTTATTTCTTTTCCCCTTTAATTTATTAAATCATTTCTTTTTTTATTAGTATCGATGTAAAATGAATCTATTTCTAGCATACAATAGTTAAAATTCAGTTCGTTTAAATTTCTGAAATTATGCTTTATTCCATTATTTCTTGCAAAATGTTCTAACATTTGAATTTTTTTAGAATGGAATACCATCTCGATGCTGAGTTGAGACAAATGGCAGGTAAATATACTTGAAATAGTAGTTTTGACAGTTTTATTACTATATTGGAGTTGCTCGATGATTAGCATGGAGATATACTACTCAAGTCCTTCATGTGGCCCCTGTATCAGTTGAGAAAGGTGAAGTATTCTAGATAGATCATTGATGCATTACTATGTCAACTACTTAGGTAAGTCAATGGCGAATGCACTCTACTTCAACCTCAAAGGCAAGGTCACTAATTTCTCTATACTTGGGTTTTGCCATCATGACTAGACTGAAGATTATCGATGGTGAAGCAACGAGCTACGATACTCAAAGGAATAATAAGTTGTACGATGCATATTTTCAGGGACAGGGGATGGTGCTTCTACCACAGTTGATTGGCGCAATCAGGATGTGGGACCACATGTTATTTGAGCTTGTATAGGGTTGATTTTTTGTAATTTTTGTGCTTTTCAATGATTTTAAGTGATAAATAAACAAAAAAAAAAATCTCAAGAGCATGGCGAAGTAAGCCATGGTATGAATCAACTTGTTCATTTTAAGGCCGCCATATAGAGATCAATCAAATTAAATCTAGTGAAAAAGATTTGTGTAGTTCAAGGTATAAATAGTAGTTAACCGAACAAAAAGCAAAAAAAAAATATTCATATATTTGATCTTTAATTAATTGAGCTTTTGGAGTTTGTGGTGATTTCTATTTGCAATAAAAGAAATCATGTTATATCACAAATAGTTATATACATTTAATAAATGCTATAATTATAAATCATTAAAGTTTAATACATAGATAATAATGAAGAGCAAGAAGAAGTGAAAAAAGGCCCGTCCTTCATCCTATAGAGAATTGGAATCTAGAGAGGAATGTTAATGCTTGCATAATTTTTAATGTTTTGTTTCTTGGCTCTTGTATGAGCCGACGAGTGACTCGCACGTGAAAAATCTAGCTCTGCTCGTCCCACTTTACATTCTGAATCTAGCTAAGAATTAGGGTTGTAAGTATCATCCCCTCAAGTTACAATAGTAGATCACTTTTTGGCCATGGTTATAAAATCATGATTTTATGATTCGATCATTCCTCCATATAAATGGGTGAAGGAATTATGAATTGTTTGGAAGCAAAGACGGTATTCGCCTATTCAGTATAGTAATTAAAAAAAAATGTTATGCTATACTATTTAATATTATCTATCAAATTTGCTCTTAGGTGGTTCCAATATTAGGTAATGACCTCTTTTAACAAATAGTCGCATATATTATCGCAAAGGTCAAATAGATGAAAATCATTTACTTACTTCAGATTGCCGATTACAGAGCTAAAAAGTTTGATAGGATGAAGACACAATGCTTCTAGAAGTTCTGCAAACTTAAGGTTGAAGGCAAATATGTCAAGAGAAAAGAGTTAAAGACCTATACAAACTCGTAGGTTGAACTATTACAAATTTACTCAATATTTCTGACTAGTCAGGTTTAGCTTTTAAGTAATTTTTTATCACTATACATATGTGGTCTTAGAATTACGCTTATTAAATTATTTATTGGCCCTCTTGTGCTGTCAAAAGTTATGAAATCTGATTGTCATGAAATCTTTTGCCCCTATTAACCTTAGCTTTTGTATGAGTGGGTCTAAGTATATGAGTGCAGAAGTGGTCAAATTCTGAAGAGAAGTCAATTTTGACGATTCAAGTCTGTCCCAAGTTGAACTTCCATTTAATATTGCAGTGGGTAGTTTATTTCTTATCTTCAGTTAAGCCTTGTCCCACTATAACATGACAAGGTGTATAATCAGAATCTAGAGTCTCAAGTTAGTGACCAAAATAACTTTTAGGACAAATTGAAATAGTGATCTAGAAGAATAACATGGGACAGAGAGAGTAATTGTCAAATAGACTATTTATTTAAACATAAATAAGTGGTTGTTGCAAAATAATTCTTGTATCTTAAAACCCTCAAGACTAAATTTGCTTGTTTGGATGGAAGCCCTGCAGCTGTTTCTTTTTAGGCCATCTAAATTCAAATTGTACTCCTGCAGCTTTTCATTAAGCATCACTCGTGGTGGCATGCACACATTGCATAGTTATCTCGATTGTACATAATTTCTTCCGAAGTTGATGCAACTCCTATCTCTTGTTGGAATTCTAACAACTTACTTAATTTATCCTGGGGTTGGTAAACTCCGGTGCTATAATTGAATTCCATCATCTTGATGCCGAATGATCAGGAAGATAATCACGAGTCCTGTACTGTTATTAGTGTAAAGAGAAGAGAACATTACCTACTCTTTTTTTCTGTTTTATAGGAGCATATAATTGGTTTGATTTCCTTATTTATGGATAATGATAGAAAAGTTCTCCAATCTTTAACTACCCCTTGTTTTGTGAAAAAGACTCAATAGTTATTATAATTATTTGATTGATACATGCCATAGAAACAGACGGTGAATAACCAGAGCCGATACATTCAAGGATATTTATCACTTCTCGTAAACATACGAATTTGAGACATTACGAGTTGTGAAAGAGCTAGTCTGCCCAAGAATTTTAGGCGTTTGAGGTTTATATATGATATCAATTCGGATACGTGTCCTGTGCTACAAAAATGTACCTGTGGAGCTTGAAATAAAATGTCAAGAAGTATGAAACTTCTTATATTGTACTACTACTACTCATGGATTCAGCTTCACCTTTACTCGTTGTGAACTTGTTTTAAACCCAGTAATTTACTAATAAGTGAAAGTGATGTTCGTCCTATCTCTTTGCATCTCCGATGCTGAGTTCATCACATGAGTTTAAGCATTGGGCTTCTGAAAGCTATCTTTTGTAGGGATCGGATTTGCACTTGTCCCATACAAGCACCAGTGCATCAGGGAGCGAGTATATGATGCAGCAGGCCGTCTAGTGTGAGTTAAGAGACATTCTTTTGATTTTTACCCCATAAATCTGCAATTTTGTATTTCTCGCAGAGACTTCTGAAAGCAAGAATAGAACGGAAAGAAAGAGAATGTCTAAAGCTAAAATAGTCACTGCATAGCTTAAATGGTTAAT